GAAGTCTGTTTACTCTTCATTGTTACAGCTTCTACTTCCTTTGTGGCTCAAGGGTTCCTTTCTTTCCTATTCATTAAACTCTGTATTAAAATGTACATACATGTACATAACTACTTCATTCAACCCTTCTTTTATTGGAAATGTTATTCTGGAACCTTTAAATGTGCAATCTAGCTTTGCCCATAACTATCAAAACCTCATCACCACTACGGACTAGGCACTTGGTTTCTTTCTGTTGCTATCATCTTGAGTTTTCCCTTTACTACAAACACTATTACATTTTACCCTTAATTCCTTTGCTCTGTCATCTGTCCAATACTGATAAGCTTAGCTTTCACATTTATTTTCTTATATTATATATCATATAAATACATCATATAAATCATTCCTTTTCTTATTCAAATTGCAGATTGTTTGTTTAGTTTTTGTTATTGTTGTTGTTCTGTGTTTTTGAGACAGTCTCACTGTTTAGGCCTGGCTGTCCTAGAACTCATTATATAGACCAGGCTGGCCTAGAACTCAGAGAGATCCTCCTGCCTCCACCTCCCAAGATCTGGGATTAAAGGCACCACCAGGCCCAGCTCTAGACTGTCTTTTAATTAATATCAATCTATGTTTTCTGTGAACGATCTAAATTTTGAACTTCTATTTCTTATCCTTCCTTTACTTTAAATTAAAAACAACAACAGCAACAACAACAACAAAAAAAAAACCAATTTAAGCTTTCCTATTTCAACTGAACTGGCCACGTGTCCTCCTTTTCTAGTGGTCTGGAAACTATAAAATTGTATTTATAAGATTTTTTGTTGTTCCTTTAAGCATTTTTTGTGCACACATTTAATTATGTGCTGATCTAAAAATGTCTGAAATTGCTTGATATTTCTGTCTTCTTCTTAAACATGTGGGTCTTATACTGCACCATCCCACACTATAAACTTTCCCTCATTAACCTATTGTTGCCACTGTGTAAAGTCACATTGTCAAATATGGCATTTATAATTCCCACTAGGCTTTCAAACACTTGCAATGTGACCAGTGTGAACTGAGATATGTTCTAAGTATAAAATACACACTGGGTTTTGAAGACAACATTACAAAGTGGAAGTGAAATATCAAGAATTTTGGACTGATTATATGTTGAAATTATAGTATTTTGGAACTATTGGGCTAAATACATTAATATTGCCTTTCTTCAGTAATATAGTCACTAATAAAAATGCAAATTTGGCTAGCATTACACCTCTACTAGTCAGTGTTTATCTAACCATAATTGCCTCTTTGTCTTGCTGTTTTGCAATGCAATGCTGAGAATCAAACCCAGGGCCTCCCACATGCTAGGTGCTAGGAGGGCACTGACACTGGCTGCATCTCCAGCACTATTAACTGTTAGTAGATGGTCTTTCTGTGCTCCAGAAAGTGATCTTCCCACTTCAGCTTCATAAACAGCTGAGTGTACTGGCACATGCCACTGCTTACTTACTAGCTTACTGCTTTAGGTTTAGTTTTGTTTTAAACAGATCAAATGCAAAAGTAAAGGCAAACCCTCAGAATTATATTTCCTGCACTATTAATAGTTACAGTGAACATTTCACCTACTTAAAATTCCTTGGTCTGGATTATATTTATCTGACATAATGTGGTACATGGCCCTGCCTTATCAAATACAGTCCATTTTCTTCTTGTATCAGCTGAGAAGAAATCCTCTGTCAGTTTACTTTATACTTCTAACCTTACAGCTTTTTAATACTTTTAACTTTTTTTTTTTTGTTATTGTTGTTTGTTTTTTCAAGAAAGGGTTTCTCTGTGCAATAGTCCTGAATGTCCTGGAACTCACTTGGTAGACCAGGCTGGCCTCGAACTCACTGAGATCTGCCTGCCTCTGCCTCCCAAGTGCTGGGATTAAAGGTGGGCACCACCACCACTTGCTACTTTTAATATTTTTTAAATTTATGCTAAAGGGTATTTTTCCTGCATGTATGTCTGTGTACTACATGTGTGTCTGGTACCCACAGAGGCTAAAATGGGGTTCATTGGAACTGGAGTTACAGGGGGTTGTGAGCCCCCATGTGGGCACTGGGGATTGAATCCAGACCTTCTGGAAGAGCAAACACCACTCAGCCATTTCCCTATCTCCCACTTAAGACTTAACCTAGAGTTTTACCATAACCTCTCCAGATACAGAGTCACGATGACCGTTTCATAGTCTAAAGAAACTGGCTCTCTCTTATTACTAAACAGTCTGAACAACTATCAAGTTAATTTCCCAGAAATCCCTGTAACTCATTATTTACAATTAAATAATCAATTAATTTTGAAATAAGCTTCTATTTGAGTCCCAAACTGGCCTCAAATCTGGGATCTTCCAGTCTCCTAAATGCTGGGATTTCAGGTGTGCACCACTATGTCCAGTTTTGTAATTCTTTATATATATATTGTAATTTCTCAGTTAATCTTGTATTTTAATTATATACTCTTAATTTTTAATACCTTTTAATCCTTTTTTGATGTACTGGATGAGTATTTTGATATTATTTTCCAACTTCCAATTCACTCATCAGTGATAAAGAGTAAAGTTCATCTGATCAATTAAACTTAATTTTTTATTTATTTTAAAATGTGTTATTATTGCTTATTTTGCATTTGAGACAGGGTTCATTAGTCCAGGCTGGCCTCCAACTCAACATATAGTCAAAGATTACCTTAAATCTCTCCCAGTCTTCCTGCTTCCCTCCCAAAAGCTGGGATTACAGCCTCAGCCACCATATCCAATTCTGTGCAGCATTAAATCCAGGGGCTCCACATCTGCTAACCAAGAACTCTCCCAATTATGCTACATCCCCAGCCCCCAATTTCTTTTTCTTTTTTTTTTTAAATTTTGGTGCTAGAGATTGAACTCAGAGCCTCACACATGCTAAGCACACACTTTACTTCTAACCTACATTTCAGCCCAAAACTAGAACTATGCCCTTTCAAGTGTCAAGTCTTTTTGGGTTTTGTTGTTGTTGCTGTTTTCCCTAGCAATGTTGTGAGATCCAGCCCAGGACCTTGCACATGCTAAGCAAGTACCCTATCACTGAGCTAAAGCCCTAGCTATACCCTCCCCTTTTAGAATACAATTATGTAGCAACATTTTTAATTTCTATGTGTTCTAATCAGTTCTTTACTATATAAACCTGCTACTGTCATCTCTTTTAATGTATACTCTTAATGTATACATTAAAGGTAATGAAGAGTATACTTTACCTCTTTAAGCATCCAAAAGGTTTTAAAGGTCTCCCAATCAATGGAATACTATGCAGCTGTTAAAAAGAATGAGATCATCCCATGGATACTAATATGAAATGATCTCTAAATATGTTCAGTTAAAAAGGCCAGGAATATAATAGTATGTGTAGAATGCTACCATTTATATAAAAGTGTATGTGAGGTATATGTGTGTATGTGTATATTTATATGCTTGCACATGCATAAACTATCTCAGAAAAGATAGCAAATTAATAATAGTGGTTGCCTCTGGGGAGGGAAACTGGGTGGCCAGGCGACAGAGGTGGAAATAGACTTACTTTTCACTGTTTACCCTTTTGTACCTTTGAATTTTGTACCACGTGCATGTATTACCTAGTCAAAAAAAAAATAAATAATTTATTTTTAAAAATAAAGTCTTTGTTGGACTACTTACTCCATAAAGTTAATTTCATCCAGAGAAATCCCTGTTCTGGTGGTTTGAATTTGTTGTATTAATATTAGATGTCTTCATGAATGTTGAAATTTTGGTTATAGGCTTGAGTGGAAAAAGTTAACTTTTTTCTCTCCCTTCCTATTTAAGGGTTTTAGAATTACCTCTACTTGGCCATCTGGGCCCCTAGTCTAGGTTTTAACAACATTTTCAGGGCTCCAGTTTCATGGTAATATTAGAAATAACACACATAGACATCTAGTCACTGGCAAATACCTTCACTCAATTTCTGTCATGAGGCTGTGTCTTTATTAGCTAAAACCTACAGCCCCAGGGAGCAAAAGAACTTTTTCTTTCTTCAGTCTTTCATAAATGAGACAGATATTTCAGCTAATGACTTCATGTGGTGATTGTGGCTCTGGGTCTTTCTGCACACAAAACTCTTCAGTGATTTTAATCTTTTTAACTGATAAGATCATAACCAGGTATCAGTGCTGCAGTGAAAGCCCAGCATCCTGTAGCTTCAGCCATGTGCAAATCTCAGGTCTGTCCTCTCTCATCAGAGGTGCTGACATTTGTTCTGGAACCTACCTGCAACTCTGTACTTATTCTCTGGTTCTGCATATGTGTCAGTGGAGTTACATCAAAACACAGCGCTGCCTAAACTACAAGTAATTTCTATATTTCCTTTTTAGGTAACATTGAAAGTAATTATAAAATACAATTTCATTTCATATAGTTTAGAAAACAGAAAATTAATGGTAAATTACCCAATTTAAACTACTGTTAGGAGTTAAAAAACAATCTTTTAATCTTCTGTATCATTTCATACTTGTATAATTTGCATGACTTTAATTTACATAATCCTAAACATTTGTCTATAGTGTTACATAATCTCAACAATCACCATTTTAAGGACTGCAGATTAATCCACCGAACTGTTCACCTGTAATTTACTTCACAAATCACTGAACAGGGAAGGAGCTAGCATCCAAGGATGTTACAAAGATGTTTCTCTCCATGTGTTTTTCTCTCAATACTCTGGATGTGGGTGTGGCATGACTGTGAGAGTTGGTAAGCCAATGCAGTAGTGGCTTAAGTACATGGCTAAGGTTCATAGTGATGACCCTGACATACAAAGAGGAAAGAAAAAAACTGCATGGAAGTAAATAATATATTGCAGAAGAGTTCCAATCCAAAAAATCATTAATAGTAAAATTTGCAGTTATAAGTTTTGCAACTGGGTAATGCACAAAATATTCTCATAACTTTCAAGCCAGACTACAAGTCACACTAAAAGCTCATTATTTACCAGCACACTCACCTGATATTATTCACACAGTCTTCATGCGCTTCAGAAAGGGTTTTTATGTGCTTTGAAGAAATAGGGTCAAAAAGCAGAACTTCAGTCTGTTCACAAGCAACTGTCAGCACTGACCTAAAAGGAAAGAACACACCTCTTGTTTACTTTTCTAAGACTCTCTGGTTCACTTATAATTATACATAGTATAGATAAATTTTTCTCTGGGAATTTAGTAGAGTCAAGTAATTATTAACAAATATAGAGAGACATAAAAGATATGCTTCACTGTAAAAAGGAGATATTGAAAGCAACCTAACTTAACATGAGAGAATGAGTATTTTATAACTGTCCTACTACTCATGAGGGAAATATCTCAAACCCCAAGTGGATGTCTGAAAGTCCAAATCGTAAGGAATCCTACACATACTGTCTCCTTCCTGTACATACTCATGAAAAAGCTTATTTAAAAGTTAGACGCAGTAAAGATTAACAAGTATAATCAAGCATGACGGTGGTGCACGCTACACAAGTGTGTTCACCCTCAAAGCATATTATCCCGCTGCAGATCTTAGCAGCCGTGCATGGTTGTTTTGTTTGTTGTTTATATTGTCAAGTGGAGAACTTCCAGTCTTTTCAGCTGCAGGATGAACCCTAGGGCTGCTCTCTGGCATACTCCAACCGTCAGCACCACTACTCTTGTGCTCTGTAGGTCTTACTACCTAAAATAACAGTCACAATGTGAAACCTGAGTTTTGGTAGCTGAGAGCTCCCAAGTGACTTACAATGTGTTCTTGCACATAGTATGGATACAGTAAAAGGGGATGTTCCATGTGGAACAGAGTGGAATGATAAGCGATTTCATCAAACTATGAAGAATGGCATGAAATGTAAAACGAGCTACTTCTCAAATTTTTTCATATGCTTTTTGTGTACTATGGTTCATTAAAGGTAACTGCAAAGTGAAGTCATGAATAATGGGAAATTCCGGCGCACCTCTTTAATCCCAGCCCTGGGGAGACAGAGGCAGGAGGATCTCTGTGAGTTCAAAGGCCAGCCTGGTCTACAAGAAGCTAGTTCCAGGACAGGCTCCAAAGCCACAGAGAAACCCTGCCTCGAAAAACAAGATAAAACTAATAACAATAATAATAATAGGATATTCCTTTTCAGACTTTAACAAAAGGGCAGTGTGGGGTTTTGAATTTAGAATAGCCACCAATCCTCATAGGTTCATACAGAGTGTCACACTTAGGAGGTATGGCCTTATTGGAGGAAGTTTGTCACTGGAGGGTGGGCTTTGAGGTTTCAAAAGCCCAAGCCAAATTCAATGACTCTTCTTGCTGCCTGTGAATCCAGATGTAGAACTCAGTTTCCCATTCTCCTATCAGTTAGGCAGACTTACAACTTCAGAAGAGGACAGCTTACAAATTTTTAATTAGATAGTCAATGGCTAAGGCCTTAGTTATAATATTCTTATGGGAGACCTTGAGCTGGTAGGTAAAATTCTTAAAGGGAGCAATAAGCCATTTTCCAATAGAGAGTTAATAAAAGCTGCTAGTCAGGTACTCAAGCAGGTAAAATATAGACCAACAGGTAAAGTATACAATAATCTACAAGCACAGTATATTATGATTCAGCTATGGCAGGTATGTATTAAGTACAAAACTTAATCTACAACAGTTTTATGAAGAAACAAAATGCTTTTTATGACTACACATTCCTGCTTTTGCCAGTTAAGATATTAAACTCTTTTTTTTAATTATTTTTATTTTATTTATTTATTATGCATACAATATTCTGTCTGTGTGTATGTCTGCAGGACAGAAGAGGGCACCAGACCTCATTACAGATAGATGGTTGTGAGCCACCATGTGGTTGCTGGGAATTGAACTCAGGACCTTTGGAAGAGCAGGCAATGCTCTTAACCACTGAGCCATCTCTCCAGCCCCAAGATATTAAACTCTTAATTTAGAGCAGTAGCCTGTCTGGTACAAAAGAGCAAGATGAAATCTGGGACATGGTTTGACAGAATATTGACTATAATCAATGTTTCTTATACTAAGCAATAGATTAATAATTTTAAAATAGTAATTCTTGAACAACTGTGTTTGCTCAATTCAAAGGCCAGAATAATAATCTTTTCCCAGATGATCTTTGCTGCAATTCACATAACTGTATTTTGCTAATGTTATTTAGCTAAAAATCCCTTAAAGGATTTTATACTCAATTTTACAAATGGCTCTTCCAATGGAAGAATTGCATATATGGTTAATAATAATAAAAAAAATTGTAGAGCGTACCATGACTCCTTGAAAACAACTTATAAAAGTTGCAGACAAATCCTGTTGCAAACAGATCTGACATGATGGCACCAAGGTGACCTTTACTAAGGCAAGGTAAAAAAGCCCTTGCAATAAATTATAAAAAGACCCGACCCATATATATTTGGGGTTGAGGATGTGTTTGTACTTTTTTCACAGAGAAAAATAAAGCTGGACCTGATGATGTCGTAGCTGCAAACACCCCATAAAGAAATTCGAGAAACGAGTGGGAGAGGAATCCTTGATCCAGTCTTCCATGTCCCCAAGGAGAGGAAGGCCTGACGTCAGGACCGGCTAAACCACTCTACACAGCAGGGTGTCATTCTGCCTCCAGAGAGTCTGCACAAAGAGACCCTGCTGAGATAATTGCCAAGATGTGCTTCAGGTGGCTGAATCCAGCTCACCTCACCCAGGATTCCCACCTGCCCAGAAGCACAAACGCTGAGCTGCTTCCAGACACAGATGCCCTGCTGAGATGACCTGACCGTGGTGACTACAATTTGCTGCAGTTTGAATCCTGTTTGCTTTGGAGCTAATATGCAGACTAACATCTGACTGTTTTAATCTTTGGGACACAGAACTCATTTTGATTAAAATATTAACCCCACTTCACTTAAGAAGGGGGCAGACTTGGGGTCTGACTGTTGCTCAGAGACAGGAACTGGTGTTTGATAACAACAATGTCTGTCATTGTACTGTTACTGGAATTGACCTATGATATTTGTAACTACTTATAGATGTTGAGAAGAGTTTGACACACCCTATAAAATGTTTGGGTTTAATGCATATGTTAAAAATTTTAGATTTTGATCCCTTTGCGCTGCCCTAAAGGAAAAATGTTGTTTCTATACTGATCACACTGGGATAGTTAGAGACAATTTTGCTAAAGTCAGAAAAGGATTAGAGCGTAGAAAAAAGCAGAGAAAGCAAGAGGAGGGATGGTTTCCCCTGGATCACCACCCTCTTACCCTTCCCTTTTGGGACCCCTTTTAGGCTTTTTATTATTGATGGCTTTTGAACCTTGGGCCCTTAATAGGCTCATTAAATTTGCTAATGAAAGACCTGGATAAATCCAGGTATCCCCAAAGAAAGCCCTGAATAAATTCAGCCCCCCCCCCCCAGCAGGAAGAAAATAGCCAAAAATCTAAGCAGGAAGAGAAAAATCAGAAATCTAGGATTAGCCGGTTCAGTGACTGTGTTTCACGAACTAGCTGAAGATAACGTTAGATTGTAAACTTGAGAATAATCTTGAGAAAACAGGGAGTTTCCCCCTTGTGATTATCATTGGTATTTTTGGAATACTGTGTTTTAGGAACTAGCTGATTATGACCTTGAGTGATCTTGAGAGGCAGGGAGTTGCCCCCTAGTGATTTTTCTGTGACACCCTCCCTGCCCCTTTCAGATTACTGGGCTGTGGTTTCTTCCCATAAAAACCCCTTCTCCAGGTCTCGGGGTCGAACTCTTCCCCTGCGTGGGTTATGAGTCTCGGCCCCAGTGCACTGGTTCCCGTCTCATCGATTAAAACCTCGTGTGATTGCAACAAGGACGGTCTCTCGTGAGTTACGAGGGGGGGGGGGAGGTTGAGTTACTGGGGGGGTCGTGTTATCCCGAGACTTGAGTGAGAGTCTCCCCACACTGGGTCCATTATCACCGGCTTGATCTGGCTGATCGAGGGCTAGAAGAAGCCCCTTGAGAGAGAGTCTCCTATTGGAGCCACATAAAACCCAGAGATATGTGTGTCTGTCCACGACAGACATGGGTACCAACAGAACGAGTGCTAGACAAACTGTGGGGGAAGACCATGCATTCTGTCTCTAGGTCTCCTGAGGAACATGCCTGATTGTATAGAGGTTGATGTCCAGAGGTATTGATATAAACACCTAGATCCTCTCCTCCCAAAAAAGATATCTGTAACTTTGAAAAGAAGATCATTTCACCAAGTTGGAAAGAATATTCCCCCACCAATTAAGCATGGGAGGATCGGGCCCTCTGTTCCCACTCCCCCCCCCCCCCCCCCCCCCCCCGTTAAAGCCAGCTCATCTACCACGTGACCTTTAACTCACCTCATTCTAATACTTAAAAAGGGCGGACCTGCCGGAAGCAAAGACCTGTATTTTGAGATCTGCATTTAGTTTACGTCATCTTAAGTTCACAAATAAGATATTCACCTTTGCAGGCAAGTTCCGGACCTAGGACATTCGCCTAGTAAGACCTGCAGGCACCAGGCTTTTAGAAAATATTAGCATTTCCTTTGTTAGTCAACAATCACAGACCCCAGTATTTACCTACCAGCTAGGGACGTCACCAGGCCTGAATTCCAACAGACCTGACACCTCCCCTCCCCCTTGCCCATCTGCTATATGACAGCTTCTGAGAAATAATAAACTCGGCGGTTTGATCAGAAATACTGCCTTGCCGTCATTCTTCATGTCTCTCGCCTCTCCATCCCTCTCCCCTAGGTTTATCAGAGACCACCGTTCGTATCCCGCAGGCCGGGATACAGCACCAAATCTGCCTGAGTGCTGCCATGTTCCCTCCCATAATGACAGTGGACTCAATCTCTGAAACTGAAGCAAGTCCAAACTAAATGTTTTCTTTTATAAGAGTTGTCATCTGAGATCTCTGTTCTCTGTGTCCGGTCGTGTCCCGAAACACACTTATCAGAAAGCTGGCCCTTGACTTCACAGTCACTGTAGTGGTCGACGGCATCTTCAAGAAAGTCAATCTTTCATACCAGAGGCAAGTACATGGTCCTCTTTTCTACCTGAAGGACTTCACTTTCGTGTGCCCTACAGAGATCATTGCTTTTAGCAACCACGATGAGGACTTCCAAAAGCTGGGCTGCAAGGTGCTCCAAGTGTCTGTGGACTATCTCAGCTCATGAAAAGTTGGCTTTGCATGAAATATGAGACAAAACTGAAACGCCACAAAGGAAAGAGTCATTTGCGTGATTTAATCTAATTAGTCTAGTAAGGTAAAAGTCAGCTCCCTTTCAGTACATTTTATAGAAATTGATGAAGAAATGCATGATTTGGTTTTTATCTTCTCCCCTACCCTAAGTTTTCTCATGCACATTTGCTTACAACTAACTTTTTCATTTAAATACATTGTATTGTAATTCCAGCACTCAGAAAGTTGAAGCAGGAGGTTTAACCCAATTCAAGCCCAGCCTAGACTACAATAGTTGTTCAGGGCTAGCCTCTATCTCAAAACAACAACAAAACCCTCATATATGTGTATATGTATATATATATGTGCATATGTATGTATGCATGTATGTATATATATGTACACACACACATATATACATATTTTTTTATATATAAAAGTTTTTTGGGGGGGGCTACAGAGATGGCTCAGTGGTTAAGAGCATTGGCAGCTCTTCTAGAGGTCCTGAGTTCAATTCCCAGCAACCACATAATGGCTCATAGTCATCTATAATGGGATCTGATGCCTTCTTCTGTCATGCAGGTATATATGCAGATAGAGTATCATATGTATAAAATAAAAAAGTTTTTCATTTCCATATTAAGTACCAGATCTCATTATAGATGGTTGTAAAACTAGCCGGGTGGCGGGACGCAGCCCGCTACTCCTACTACATCTGTGACTTCAAGGCCAGCTTGATCTACATAGTTAAATATCAGGGCAACCAAGATTACTGTGAGAGACAAAATAAATACACAAACAAATTTCTCTGGAAGAATGAAGACCACAGTTAAATGAGAACTATATGTAATATCCCTCATCCTAGCAGCCCTGGCATTTGAGTTAAAATTTTTATATGTAATTCTAGGATCACCATTTTCTATTTAAAATTCTACCTCCAGAATCAATAAAACTACTTCTTAAATCCTGAAAGTTCAGTTTGGTAAAACTGAGCTACAAAACAGAGAGGCATAGACAGTATTTGGGAGTGAGGAGAAAGCTTAAAGAATAGCGCAAAAAAGAAAAAGGTGCCATGAATAAGCTTCAGCTGAAGTTTCTATTCTCATTAGCTTTCTTCCAGACTCATGTATGCATCCACTGCTAAAACGCCAGCCAACTACTATGAGGAAACACTGCAGAGATTCTAGAACCAGGTATAATTAGGAAGAAGCACTCTCTGCCTGGCATGGTGGCGTACACCTTTAATCCCAGCACTCAGGAGGCAGAGGCAGGTAGATCTCTTTGAGTTCGAGGCCAGTCTGGTATACAAGAGCTGGTTCCAGGCCAGGCACCAAAGTTACAGAGAAACCGTGTCTCAAAAAAAAAAAAAAAAAAAAAAAAAAGACAAGCATTCTCATCAATGAACTAGAACAAGTTTTACTTGCTCAGTAACTGTGTTCCCAGGCTTCTCGGCATATTCGAGGTCTTTCCTCCTTGAAAAATTTGTTTCGTAATTTCCATTTCCTAACATTCTATGCTAATATGGCCCTTCAGCTTAAGTCCACATTCCTCTGAAATACTTCTATTCTTTACCCAGCAGTCTTGAATCATGTGGCTCCTGCAATTTTTTTCCCCTGATCTTGATCCAGGTGTCACTTTTTCAGGGTAGCCTAGCTCAACAGACTTTAAGCCTTTATCTCAATTTGTAGTATACCTACAGAATCTCATATCCAATAGAACTAATAGAGCCTCGGCTCAATAAAAGTGTCATTAGCTAGCTTTACTCATTGCTGTTATCCATGCATTCGCAACCTATCAAGTATTCCAGGAGCATCGGGTTAATGGGGGATTGAGTGAATGAACGCATTAACTAACCAGAGACTAGTAACTCGGAGGCCCGATGTGCTAAGAATGCTATTAATATGTCATCTTAAGGTGAAACCATGAACAGTGTCTTTCCTCTGATTGGCGTTGAACTTGTCCACGCACAAGATAAAGTATTAAATAAACCTCGGAGAGTTTTGGAATTGTCCTATAGTTTAAAGTGAACCAGTTAAAAAAAAAGTTGGAGCCGGGCAGTGGTGGCGCACGCCTTTAATCCCAGCACTCGGGAGGCAGAGGCAGGCGGATCTCTGTGAGTTCGAGACCAGCCTGGTCTACAAGAGCTAGTTCCAGGACAGGCTCCAAAACCACAGAGAAACCCTGTCTCGAAAAACCAAAAAAAAAAAAAGTTGGGTACTCTTAACCCAAGGATGTAGTCTATGCCACAAATAGCACCAAACACAGAGAAACGTATTTCTGCAGTGTCTTAGTATCTTTCTAGAGTTTTCGAATGCCTGCTCATGGCAGGATTTGGCACAAGGTCTAAAGATTCTGAAGGCTTCTTACCTTGAACACTTTTAACACAAGCTCGGCTCAGAGAAAGGCCAGTTGAGGATAACAGCGGAACGGTGGGCATTTAAAGTGTATTTACTGAGTGCCTATGGTGCACCAGGCATTTCTCCTTGTGGAGCGGCTCTGACAGACCAGCAACGAGCCTCCAGGACCCCCAAGGGCGGCACTGGGCCAGCCAATATCAAAAGGCCAGGGCGGGGCTCACAGGTGACAAACTACGTGCTCCCGCAGGTAGCAGGGACACGAAGGCCGACGGCCGCCGCAAGCCGCCCTGAGCGGAGGGAGGCAGCTGCGGCTCAGGCACTTACCCGTCGGGCGAATACTCGAGGTTGAAGACAGCCCCGTGGGTGCGGGTGCTAAGGTACACGGAGTCCGCGGGGTGGATGGAACCATACAGGTTCGTCATCGTGCGGAAGTTGTCCCGCGCCGGGTCCACGAACAGCCCGCGGCCGAGGCTCCGCTCCCTCAGCCACCCGAACAGTCGGGCGCCAGGGCCGCCCAGGCCCGAGCCGAGGCCCTGCCGGCTCCGGTGGCCGGCCCTGCAGTCTGGCCTCGAGCGCCTGCGCGGCGAGGACGACGGTGACAGCTCGGCCTGCGCTGCAGCGGCCGACAGCTCCAGAGCTCCGGGGGCCGCGAGCTCTCCCGCACGCTCAGCCGACGACAGCGCGGGGCCGCCCGGGAGGCGAGGGCTCCGGGCTGCGGGCGGGGGAGGGGCCGCGTCAGCTCCCTGCTGCTGCTGGGGCGCCGGCCGCAGAGCTGGAGAGGGCGGTCTGGAAGCTGCCGCCGGCCCTCCGAGAGGCGGCGGCTCCTCAGCTCCAGCCGCCCCATCCCCGCCCGGGCTGTGGGGCCCGAAGGGAAACATGACCAACACCCCCGCCCCCTATTCCGGGCCGCTGTCCCGCCGCCCGACAACTCAGCGCTCCCGCTCTAGCCGCCACTTCCGGGTGCCGCGTCCTAAATCCGCCGGCTGGGAAACCCGCGTCACCGCTAGGCTGCCCTCCGTCGGGGGACCGAAAAGCAGGGACACCGCCGAGTCGGGAGCGCCCCTGCCCAGGAGGACTGTGAGGTCAGGAGCGACTAGCCCTCTGTGAGCAAGGTCGGTCGCACAGGACCAGCTACAAGCAGCTGAGTCGGCCCACAGCTGTCAGGGAGCACGACTGGCTGTGTGCCTGACCAGTCCGACTAGACTGGGTCGGATTACCTACTGCTGTCCTTACGAGATTGGGCGGGGTGAGGGGGGTGGGTACATTACTGTATTATTGTAGGTCACACGGTAAGTCTCCTGGCACACTGCCTACTCAGCCTACAAGTCTAAAGATTCAAGAACATTGGCACTAGACTGTACAGTGCCTAGAATAAAGGACTCTATATCGGTGCCTTAAATATCTGCTCAAACCCGCCTTCTCCTCCCTGCTCATACTGCATCTGCTGAGCACTGCACGAAGGGCCTTTCTCACTGCTGCAGCTGAGTACAAATAACCTGTTTTGGGGAAAGCGTTAACAAGGAATGGGGGGGGGGTTGTGCAAGGAACCTTAGTTCTCAAAAAGGAGAGCTTGAGGGAAAAGGAAAGGCAGATACAAGAACTGACAAATTTTCTAGGTCTTGTTAAAGGCAGCATTGTAGGAAGTTCACATTTGGTACTGTAATGGTAAACCTGGTGGATGATCTAGCCTGTGAGGATAGACCTGGAAGACGTCTGGAGGGAGGTAATTAGTGGCTGAACCGTCAGCAGAAAATCAGTAAGTCTTCATTTAGTTTGTATTGGCTCCAGATAATCAGATTTCACAGTTCAGGGATTCAACATGAAAAACATACCAAAGTCCCAAAGCCATTTAAGAGCTGTTCACGGAGGGTATGGTTCAGCGGTGGAGCGCTTGCCAAGCATGTGTGAAACCCTGACTTTAAACCCCTAGTACTGCAGAGAAGACAAAACAAGTGTTCACTGATAAAAATTCAAGACAAGTGGCAACACAGAGAATAAGTAATTTGGTAATGCCTTGTTTTTAAACGTTTGTATTTAATATGTGAGCACTCAATTATTCCAAATATTTTTTTACTAAAACCTAAAATAAGAGCATATTACACATGACTAAGATTCTATAACATCAAGAGGGGCGGGAGTGGGAACTGGGATAGTTATGTAAAATGAGAAAAGATTGTTTTAAAAATTAAATTTAATAGTTAAAAAAAGATTCTGTAACATCAGTAAAAAAACTGAGAAGGCACTGAAAATAGAACTAAATTTAGCTGCACCTGTTCCTGTGGGCCCCATATTAAGAGTCTAATCGCACAGCCATGTTAATAAGGAGCAGACGTCAGATCAGTCTATATCGACCAATTTCTAGGTAATACCTTTTGGAAAGCTAAAAGATTTTCAACTTTAGCCAAAATTCAATTAGATGTCTACTCATATTTAAAGCATCATGGGAATTCCTTTGCCATACAGTTCTTTTGGATCACAATGGAAGCAAATAATCAACAAAGGCTTTCTGAACTGTGTCCCCAAGTCTCAAGTGTCACATGCCCCTGGACACTCAAGGACTTCATCAGGCAGGTGGGGAACAATTTTTTTTTCTCTAACCAATAACTAGGTGTTTTGTATTTATTTTTAATTGCTATCCAATGGGTGTCTTCTAATGCAACCTAACTGAAATGATAAATACTGGCCTTTCCTGTCAGGCTTTTATCCTTTCGGAGCAGTAAGTTTGTTCTCTGTCTGTTTAGCATCCGTGTCTCTGCCCAGTGAATAGTACCCCTTGTTAGGAATGATGTCGATAAAGTGAACAAGGCGGTTGGCCATAGCGTAGAAAGCTGTGATGGTAGCTATGTCCCAGGCATCTTCTCTACTGAAGCCATGCATTTCCAGCTTTTTGAAATGGTCATCTGTTATGTCGTCAGCTTGGGAAACGGCAAGTGCAAACTCTATCATTGCTTTTTCTCGAGCAGGGAGGTCAGACTTTCTCCAGTTTATACAGACCTGCAATGAAACGCACAATCAGAATCTTAGTCCAGTACAACACAGCTAATAAAATCCAAGATCAAGTGGAATCAATGAGGGAAATCCCTCAAGGTTATTCTAGAATAAAGGGAGCAAAGTTAGGGCAGGACAAGAAATATCTTGGTCAAGCCTACTGGAATATAAACTTGGAAATCAAGTTCAAAACCATGCCTACCAAGAAGTGTTTTTGCGGGACTAGAAAGACACCTCCATGGTTAGGAGTACATGCTCTTGCAGAGGAGCTAGATTCAGTTCACAATCATCTGTATGTCCAGTTTCAGGGAACCTGACACCCTCTTCTGACCTCTGACAGCACCAGGCATGCACATATGGTACACATACATGCAAGCAAAGTGCACACACACATACACACACCCCAAATAAATATTCTTAAAAGTCTTTTTGTTTGTTCTAGCTTCAAAACCCTCTTTATTTTCAGGCTGGAAAAATGGCTCAATAGCATTTAGTGCTCTTTCCCAGGACCCAGGTTCAGTGTCCAGCACCCACATGCTGGCTCACATCTGCAGTAACCCCAGTTCCAGGGGATCCAACACCCTCTGCTAGCCTCCAAAGATACCTACATGCGTATAGTGCACAGAAACTTATGCAGGCTTGCACACATACCCATAACTTTAAAAAAGAAAAAAGCTTCCCCCCCCCCCACTGGACATAGTGGCAATGCTTTCTACTCAAAGCTGAGATAAGAGGATTATTAATTCATTTTAGTAAAAGTCTAGGCAAAAAAACTAAAAAAAAAAAAAAACCAACAACACACACACACACAAGACAGTGTCTCTTGAAAAAAACCAAACAAATCCTCTCTTTTCCTCTAAACATTTGTAGCTTAAAAACTCAGAGTCAAAACCAGAAACCTCACACTTGAAAAGCTTGCCTTCCAGATGAGAGCAGTAGAGCTCACAGGCTACCCTGCTGTCCCCAGTGATGCCCAATCAAGACACAATATTTGTGATATTAATAGTTTCTACTTATCCAAGTATGGTGGCTCATGCTGAGGCAAGAGATTCCCTGAGAGGTTACTCTGTGAACTCCGAGCCGTCCTGAGCTACAGCACAAGAGACTGCCTCACAAAGCTAAATTCAAAAACAAAACCAAGAAGACCCTCACATTTTAGCCATGGGAGCGTTAAGAATGAGCTTGACATTTCAAATTTATTGTCTCATTATCCGAGCAGTAGTATTTTTATTATCCCCACTTCATTAAGAGGAAACTGCAGCTCTGAGAAGCAAAGTAACTTCCCTAAGGTCATATGGCCACGTCATGGCAGAGCTGGGGTCAGGTTCCAAGTGCATGAGGTCCCACAGACTCACATTTTCTCTGCTGGAGTAAAATACTGGAAACCTCTAAAACTAAAGACACTTGACCAACTTAGCAACCACAGTATGACAACTTGCTTCATGGCAACCAGGAGGCAATACCTGACAAAGCCTGGGTGAGCAAGGACCGGCTGACTGGAGGGGGCACTCTGTAGGACAAACGGGCCGACATGGAAGTTACCTGTAGGCTAGTCATACAATCTCCACCCAGGCCAGGTCAGGAGAGAAGACCATAGGGACAGAGAGACTGATGAATCTCCACTTGAGAATAATTCAGAGAAAATGTTTTAGTTCCCCAGCTCCAAAACCAAGGGATTTCATTGTAGAAATTAGAACCAGGGAAGCTTTGTGGCAAATCCTCATTGGTTGTCTCTATCCTCAGCCATTTTCTGAATAATTAGGATCACCTGTGATGGCCAAAAGCCTGATTTGAGATGAACCAAGGGCAGAGTAAGGCACTTACTGGGGAAACAGGACTATTTCACCATCAATCTTGGTGATAAGAGAGGACAGAGCCCATTCCAGAAAGATAGGCAGATTGGCCCAAAGCCCAGGGCCAGCGCTAAAAAAATAATAATAAATAAAAGAAAAGCTAATACTCTGACTTGGTCCCTGTTGTAATAATCAGTGAATGTACCATTCGGCACTGGGAAACGAAAGCAGTGCAGCGTAGCACCAAAGAGCAGCTTTGCAGTAAGACTCAGCTTACAGTTGGATGTTCCATGCCAGGGCACCCTCTGAACTGAGAGTGTGGAACACTTAAAGACTCCCTTGGAGAAAAGTATTGAATATAGGCCAAGTAACCAGTACTTTGGATAAAGTCTGGAGGTTCAGTTACTCCCTTCCTCCACCATGACATGTATACCGAACAAAGCAGGGTACTAGTGGTGGGAACTCACATAGTGGGAAGAACTTGAGGTGTATGCCCCACACCTTACAAGGACATGGGCTCTGCCCTCTCTCCAGGTACAGAGAGGCCCTAACACTGACACAGGAGAGGTAGGCACCAACCTGGTCAGAGAGTCCTGGGTTCTTTGAGTAGACCCTGTACATGGCGCTGTGGACAACAACGCTGTATAGGCACTTGTCACCCAGGCTGGTCACTACGATGATGAGTTCCTTGTCAGCTTTGCTGAGCCGACCTGGAGAGGAAAAGGAAAGGAGACCCATCTAGAGAGCCCAAACAGCAGCTTAGAAAGAACCCATCTGGCCTAAGCATGTTTATCAACAGCTCTGCCCACAACCTACTCATCGACCCTCACCTGCATACTCATTCTCATTTCTTGTTATCTTTTGTCACTTGACTCTTCCTAAAGTCACCTTGTTCTTCTATTGTCTGTTTCTCCTCTCAAGAGTATTTGTGAAACTACCAGTAAGGTCCTATTGCTGAAGACAACACCTATATATCTCATTGAACACGGAGAGATTGTGCTGTTGTCTAGCTAAAGCTTTCGATCCTACTATCCAGTATTCATAGTACCAGAGGAGAAAGGTGACCACAGCCCAATCTGCAATGGGGACCTATCTGCAGAATGCTCAGGTGCAATAGTGGCACCAAGGTTGTGGGAGTGACCAACAGCTATGATAGGATTTAAGGTCCACTCTG